GTGCGAATTGATAATAGCCAAGATTAAATGCTTCTTGATTCAAACTACCTGCTGTTCCGATCATAGAAAAGTCGTGATGAATAATTTGTGCAGTATATTTGTCAATAATAGAACGTTCAATTGCAACATCACCACCCAAATATACATATTTACCATGGTGTAAACTTTGATGGGTATAAATATTACGTTGATTGATGCGACTAAAGTTTGGATATATTATAACTAGAGACTTATCATCATTGGAGAGCTGATTCGAATTTTTATGATAACAGTGTAGAGTTATCATCGTACCTAGAATGAAGTATTCGGCGAAGTTTTGCAATGCATTTTCGAAAATTTAAAATGAATTTAAGCTAAAAGTTAATAAAGTAAACTAGATGCAGAGAAAGTTCCCAAAACAATTAGGTGTCCATTCCTTAAGGTAGATTTGAATATTTTATTAGCTTTTAAGGATTAATTACTGCTATTTATTGATATTTTATAGTAAATTATAGTTTTTATTTCAATGTCACATAGAACAGTTAGAAAGTGATAACTGAGAGTAATTAGTGAATAAAACTCTATTATATATTTTTTTGAAACACAGTTTAGAATCATTTTGATTTGAATAAAAATTTTTTCGGACAGCATCTAGTTTCACAATATAAATCTTCTATGAATTATGTCTTTAGTAGCCTCAAAACATTAGAGAGCATACCAGTAACGACAGAACCATTTTGACAGTATAAACGAACTCGTCTCTGGATGGCATCTGATGCATCCAAACTTTGATTACATTTTGGACAAGATGATTGAAATGGTACTAATAGGTTTTCATTTTGACGAATCATGATGGATGATACTGACGTTTGCTTGTGAAGTGGACGGCTTTGACAATATGCAGTTGATAAATCATCAATTAACATTTTAACATGTAGATCTGATTGGTCACTCATAAAAGTATGACGAACAGCTGATGCTATTTTGTTGAAACGAAATTTGTCGAAAGGAGACATACGTGCATCCTCATTTAATACGAAAACTAATTCTGCAAGAGTAAAATATTCCAACCAATAGCTGACACGCTCGATGACAACAGAAGATGTGCGCATAATTGCACGATTATTTATTCTAAAAGTCAACAGATCAAAGCCGACAAAATTTGAATGAAATCGTTAATGATTTTTTTAATTTTCTTTGCAATAACTTTTTAAATAAGTTTTATTTTGAAATACAAAAGAGGAGACCATTATGCCCCATGATAAACACAAAGATGAAGCGGGAAAAGTTACAACTATTATCATATTTCTCTACACAGTTCTATTTAACTTTTGCACAAACTTAGATAAGTTGATATGCTTCATAACTTAAAGCTTGTTGAGATAAATCTATTCATTATGCTCAAAATATATAGAATCTGAGCAACCTCAATACATGTTTATACGAGCATCACATTGAAATCGAAAAATATAATTAGCAACATGAATATATAACTTGCAATATATACAAATGATTGACATAAAACGGTAATTTTTTTATTAATGTGATGTGCTAAGATATTCATGTTTTAAACAATCAATTATATCTAAGTCTGATAAATCTGAAATAAATTTCACTGAACGAAGAGTAATCATTATTTGCTCATCAGTTAATTCTTCATTTTTAGAATCATTATCCTGATTGGTAATATTAGGTCTTGCAGATGACTCGACACGGGAAGTAACATTTTTATTTAAAGTAATTTTTTCATTGCAACTTGTATTTATGATTGGTTTCGACAATCGAGCAGTTAACGAAGCAGAAGTGTTATCATCACACAAAAGAACAGGTGATCGATCATTGGTGTCATTTACAGGATTATTAGAAATTCTCCCGAAGTCTTGAATAATATTCGTCACTACTTTTCTTCTTGGAGACGTTGAACAAGGTGATGTAAGAGATAGTTGTTCTGTGTGAGATAAGCGAAGACGCTTGAGACTATGGTCTAATGGATCACTAGTCGTATTACCCATGTAAACAATCTTAGAATAAAAAAAAACAACATCGTTCAGACCATAAATATGCGAATGATAAAAAAAAGTTGCTGTCAAGAGATAAAAAGAGTCAAATCACACAAGTCAGTTAGTTATTGTAATGTAACGAGGGTCATCATCGTCGTCGCAAATTGCACTTGACCTTGTAACACAAAAAGAGTACAATAGCCTACAAGTGATTGATTTTCTTACCGTTGAAGTACTGGACAAGCAAATCTCTCAATAAGACGACCTGGTTAACTTGTGCATGAAATTTCTTGGCCTAAACAGAATAGAAAAAAGAAAAAGAATTATTCGAAGGAATAATACATGTTTCACTAACCAAATCACCCCAAAATACTATGTTACTATCCGCAGTATCATCCGATACCATAATAATACGTCTATACGAGTAGCTCTTTCTTTTGCCTACATAAATGCAATCGGCAACGCCGATTGATTTGATTGTAACAGATAGATCTAAATATGTATCGTTGTATTAAAATTCATCAAAATACAATGGTATATTACTAACTGACGCATTTGCCAATATCGCTCAACGAAATGCTGGAGATTTTAACAATGTTGAGGGCAGTATTCACTTTCAGAAATTCATCGCCAGGTATTTGATTAATCACAGAATTCTTCGTTAAATTTATTTCAAAATCATGGGATAAATGATTAT